AACAAATAACAAAGCAAGCAACACATATACAAACCTTACTAGCAAGTTGCTTCCCTGGAGCCTTTCCTCCAGTAGATTTACGAGCAGTTTGCTTGGTACGAGCCATCTACACACAATTACCATGAGAAAATCGCAATAACAAATTTTTCATCGAGAAACCACAAATCTACATAGCGAAGCTTCGGGAAAATGGATTCGGGTACCTCCAATGGGGATCAGCTGCGAGAAAACTGGTTCGGGCTTGGATTGAGCCGCTGCAGCCTTGGAGTCGCGAAGCTCCAGCGTGGAGACGATGGTTGAGAGGCTTTTCTTTTCTGGTGGTGGTCGTGAGTCGGGAGGATAAGGGAGAAGATGATTTGGGAGGCTTTTCTATTCTGGTGGCGGTGGTGAGTAGGGAGGTTAGGGGAGAAGATGATTTTGGATTTATAACATAGCTAGGGTTGGGTTCTGCAATTTGAGCCATTTATTTGATTAAAAAAAAAATCGCAACACTTAACAAACGTTGCAAAAAGTGAAATTTTTTGCAACGTTTCAGAAACGCTGCGAAAGGTTTCAGTTTTTGCAACGTTTGACAAACGTTACGAAAAGCGAGACCTTTCACAACGTTTGACAAACGTTGCGAAAAGTGAGACCTTTCACAACATTTCTCAAACGTTGGAAAAAGTACTTTTCGTAACATTTGACAAACGTTGCAAAAGGCTTTTCTTTTGCAACGTTTGATAAACGTTGCTAAAGGTCTCACTTTCCGCAACACTCAATAAACGTTGCAAAAAGGGGTCTATTGCAACATTTTTCTATAAAACGTTGCCAAAACTCATTTATGCTAATCAATGGCAATATTCACTTGCTAAAATGTTGTCAAAAGACCCTTTTAGCAACATTTATCAACAAATGTTGCCTTTTTAGTGTTGCAAATGGCTATCTTTGTTGTAGTGTATAATATATAGGGTTTTTAATTCTGGACCTGTGTCTTTGTGGGTAAAAGAGTCCAAGTCAGCCACCAATTGCTAGATAGAAGGGGCTCCTATTCAAAACCATTAATGCTATATTATCCCTCAAGTCGTTAGTCTTTCAAGATATTGAAATTCAGTCCTTGAGACAAATTTATTTGTTCAGTCGATGTCTTCTTTGATTCAATTCAAGTCCTTCACTTTCCAAAATATGAGATATGATCTCCAAACTTTGCATCCAATGGACAAATTAGTCTCCGTATTTTAAATTTTGCCATTTTTTTTTGCTATTTAGCATTATTTTCTCCAATTCTTCATCAAATATAAAGTTTTACCTACAAAATGTAATATAACATAAATTATGTAGAATTTTATCCAATTGACAATAAAATATCATCATTTAGGGTCTCGAAAAAGTGTATAAACTACACTTATCATTGAGTTACCTCAATCCATTCCATCACCTCAGTGTAAGCATACCTCATCCAGTATCTAGTGAAGCTCTGATAATCTTCTATTAGCAATCTTGGAGTTGAGGTCCCTCTCTTGCTTCTTCAATGCAACATTCTCTCTATTTGACCTCTCTAATGCCTCAACAGCCAACTTCTAGTATGCATCAGAAGTCTCCACTCCCTTTTTCATAAAAGCCACTTCGCTCTAGGACAAGTAGACTTTCTTCTTCAAGTTTTCAATCTCTGCTAAGGCAGAGGCAAGTTTAAGAGACCCTGTCAACCTGCTCTTTCTTAATGGCCTTAGTATCGCTTTGGCCTTTTGGCTACCTCTTCGGCCTGAGAGTCCTTTTTAGCAAACTCCTTATTTTACTTTGAAGGTTTTAAAGAGGACTTCAGCCTCTGTGGAGACCCTAAATGCTCTCCATGCCTGGCTCACCATGATGGCAAACATGTCTACCGAGTCACTGGTCTCCACGAAGGTCTGCCACCTATCTGTCCAGTACTTGTGGAATGT